CTACATGGTTTCTCGAATGAGTGAGCTAAAAGACCCGGTGAAAACGACAATTGCACTAATCAATAAAGATTTACCCATCCTTACAGAGGAAGAATGGAAAGTATGCCAAGAACTGAGCGTGGTTTTAGAACCATTCGAAGATGTTACAAGAAGGATCAGTGGTGAAGTGTATGTGACAGGAAGTCAAATCATACTATTAAAGAATGGCTTGACGAAGGTCTGCATGAAAATGAGGAAGGAGTCTTTCACTCCGGTAGTGCTAAAAGTAGTGGATCATTTAATGATTGGTCTTGGTACTAGACTTGTAAACGTAGAAGCCAATAAACTTATTGCTCTTTCCACACTTTTGGACCCACGCTTTAAACTGGCCGTTTTTACAGACGAAAGTTCTATAAAATCTGTAAAGACATACTACACAGAATTGATGGCTGCAGTTTGGAATGATGCCACCAAGAAGCACTCTATCGACGCTGTTGACACTTATGATGAACCAAGCCAGAACGTCCCCTTGGGAGAAAGCAAGAAGTTCTCGGTCTTAGGACATAGAGACCTACAGGTAATTTAAAAAAAAATTAAGGTAAATTTAACTGAACATTATAATTAGTTTTATATAATCCTTATTTTTCAGTTAGCCATTTTACAATGCGATATTACGTTGTATATCCACCAAACCCTTTTAATATAGGTATATTGTAATAATTAAGAGATGACATGTGCTGTTACTGATGGAGCTGATTATTTTGCTGGTTAGTGAAACCGTCCCTGTAACTCAAATTTGCGGTATATTGTGCATTATGTTAGGACGGATGGTAAAAAAACCGCTCATACCATACAATGACTTTCATCCATTACTTTAAATAGATTTAAACAATTATAATTTTGGGTGTGATTTGTTTATGCATCTATAACACATTAGAACAAATTAGTTATGTACTCTTCATACGTTTCGCAACTTCAAGTGACTAAATTATTTAATAACAAACATTTCAACATTTATAACGCGTTGATTTACTTTTGTAGGAACCAAAACATCAGTTGAGTTAAAGCTTCAGAGAAGGACTGGACACCTCTCCATACTAAGGGATTTGCCAAGTATAGACATGGAACTGACAATGCCAGACGTCATGACCAAGGAGTATGACTTCAAGGTACAACTGGCAACAAGGCAGGCTCAAGATGGGCAGGGCATGCCTTGTATTTTACACAGATTGAAGTTGAAAGGATAAACCCCCAGCTCGCGGTTGGGGTTTAATGGCAACAAAACCAATAGCTCCTTAGCCCTGGGAAACGCAGTGACAGTCTTTCAATCGGAGGTCCTGACGATTGGGTGCTGTGCTTAATCCTGGACAAGAACGTGAGGAAAGGGAAAATACTGATCCTCTCAGACCCATAAAGGCCCTGGGGTCTTGTATGAAAGTGTCACAAGCAGTGAAGGGGTGCAAAAACACCCTCACAACACTGGCAAAGCGGAACCAAGTAAAAGTTTATGGGTCCCAGGACACTCAGGCGTGAGAATGAGAAAGTTGTAGCAGTGGCCTGGAGGGGTGCAAAAGAACAGCAATAAACTTGAAACAAACAACCAGCTATGCACTCCACCACATCTCAAATTAGGAGCCAATTTACAAAAGAATAGAAACATAGCTTTCGGTGTTAACTAATAGTAGTTTTCGTAAAAGATGTATGTCGCTAATACTCGATACATGCAACATTGCTCAAGCTACGCTAACCTGGTGGGAAACAGCCTTAAGTATGACAGTGTGGTGAAGAGACCAAACAAATCCTTGACCCTGAAGGGCTGATTCCTGACGACACACTTAAGCCGTGTTTACACGAAGCCAGTTGGCGGGCAGGTTCCTTGCCCTAAGTAACTTGAAATATATTAGAGGCAAGTAACCTGCCTGCTCTATTGGCCTCGTGTAATCAGGGCTTTAAGGATCCAATTACCTTTGTGAGACACACATCAGCCACTGTGTGGGCACTCCAGGGCCCCATGTACCTTTCGGTCAAGAAGAGGACTAAAATAACTCGCTGAAGAGAAAAGCTTCTGCATGTTTTTGATGGCAAAGCCAAAGGCAGGATGGGAGCTTGATGTCAAAGAAAGTTGGGAGCGAGAATAATCTCCCAACCCCTGTTAGTCGCCTCTTACGACAAGCCGGGAACGCTGCAGTCCTATTCTAACCCGGGAGCCGCACGGGATATTACACCTTACCTTAATTCAATCTGTGAAGTAGTTAATTTCACTGATGGGGAGATGTTTGCTTCTATTCATCTTTGGAGAGAAAACAAATCTTGAATAGCCTGTCAAAGTAGTACTTTGTGTATACATGGTAAAAAGGCTGGTCCAGCTCTCACAGCATCAGAACTATCGGTCATAGAGGGAAAGTGTAAAAAGCTGCCTTGTAAGAAATTTTATATTCTTTTTAACATAAAGATATGTTTGTTTGTTCAAAGAATTTAAAGGTATTTATTTTACCCACTTTCCCTTCTAAACCTAACATTATCGAAAGATACCATAAAAAAATTGATAAAAGGCTAATGAACAACTTTAAGTATTCAGACAACTATTTTTAAGCAAGGTATAATGATACTTTGCTGTACTTAGAAGGATTGTGTTTTAATTTAAATATTTTACCAAGCAACTATCTATTTCAAAAAGCACAATATAATACAGTAGGCACTATTTTAATATTCGGGCACTACGAGGTAAAATATATGGCTGGGTAGCTAATTGGTTAAGATTCTTGGTTGATAATCACAAGATCGCCAGTATGAGAAAATTATCTTATTGATGGTCCGTTGTCATCAAATCGATACTTAAATTATCAATTTAAAAAATTATCATCAATACTTTTGAGGCAGCAAAACAACCTAAGTCAGCTTTTAACATAATTGTCTAATGGAAGCCTAAATGGAATATTTATGAAAAACAGTACAAACAGACTACAGAAGACAAAACCACAATAAATTTGTATAGGAAACCTATACTTAACCAAACAGTTTTAATTACTAAAATGGGTACAAAGAAACTGAAAGTAAAAAATAATTTAATTAACTAATTTATTTTTATATGTACAAAACAGTTTCTCATAAATAGGATTTTTATAAAAAATTATCGGTTTATAAGCTCATAAAAGTAACAGAAATTACTTTATTTAACTTAATATTTAAATTACAGTTAATAGTTCACTTACCCAAATCAAAAAATGATTAACAAACAAATATTTAAACATGGTAATGACAACCATTTAATTGTATAATGATACATGATTACAACTTGACCAGCACTTGTACCTAAGTTTCCATACCCAACCTCAACCAATTCTTGAACATAATTTGTAGCAAGAGCGCCAATAAATAAACATGTTTGAATTAATTACTTTAAAAAAAACCTTTTATAACATATGCCAGTTAACATTATAAATACCACATTAAAAAGATAAGAATCCCATTTTGGCACAGTAAAAAAATTTACTTAAACTGTGTAAATTTACTTGTTTACTTAAACTGTCAAATCTTTCTGGCATTGGGTTTTTTGTTAGGAAAGGGTTCAATTTATTATAGGCTTAAGCTACAAATGATTTTCAGTGTGTAACGTTCAATAGTTGTATAATATTGACACCACTTAAAAAATTGGACTTCAATTAAAAGTGATAAAATCACAATTCATACATTTAAGTTATTATAATTGTAATTGTACAAAAACTAAATTTGTAACAGAGGAAAAAACCTTCAGATGCTCCTTTTGCATCATTTGCACATATTGCTAAATAATCAAATAATATATAAAATGTTTAGGATAATGCGATCTAACAATTTATATCGCATACCAAAGGATTAAAATTAATTATTTCATTAATAAAACAATATGGATTTAATAACCTTAAAATACAAGATTTACAAAAAAAAAAAAATAATATAAAAACTGATGTGTTATTAAAATATGTCGAGTTTCAAAATCTCTCATAAAATAAAAATACACAAACCTATTATTATCAACAGCATAATTAGTTAAATATTATATAATGACATTAAAATCCTGTGTTTTGAAGTCGACAATAGACAGAAGACTTTTAATAGCATCTACACTCAGAGACTACATAGTTCTACGACTAAAACAACCCTTACCAATGTTATCATTGTTTTTGCATTAATAGTAAAAAAAACTTAGTAGGACGCAAGAAAATCACATTCATTGAGTAAATCCATAATAAGGCTTAAACTCTTGTGTACACTTCATAGAAGTGTTCTTACCATCTCTGGGCTAAAACACCCTCAATAATCATAGTAATTAACTCAGAGTAAAAATATTATTTACAGATTTCATTACTATATCAAATATATAAAATATTATCCCCAACCTTTTCCTTCGATTCTAACTATTAATACATTATTGCGTATAAATACAAATATGGTTTATAATACATATAATAATTTGAAATCTGAATATATATATATATTACTTATCACTTCTATAAAAATATGTGTATGTATACGAATATTAAAAATACAAATTCAGACTGCACATTAAGGCAGGAAGAGACTTGCCAGCAAGTATGTGAACAACAAACCATTGCATATGCCATTGCATTTATACTGCACAGCTGGAGACCTGTCTATAAATGTAAGGCTAAAAAATAGCTTTACAAGCAAAGTATCCTACTACTTTATAAAACAAATGGAAACACTCCCCAGTTTCCCTTCTTACTTATACAATTTCTATATGTTTTGAATGGTTAACATGAAGAATAAAGAACAAATTCCAAACTTAATTCAAAATCAACAAAATTAAACGGCAACAAAAACTTTTCTCTGCAGTTGAGATGCTCAGCACCATGACCAGAGGCAGATAACTGCACACAATCGTAACAAGTCTTAGTCAGTTCAGTTTATAAATTGAATACAAAGTGGCTGAAAGTAAGATAGTTAAACCGATCTTAAGAAACAGTTCAAAACTGTACAATACGTGTTTAAGTTGTCAGGCTATTGTTTTTTTAATAAAAAAAAAATTCAATTGCATTATATTTAGAAATTTTTAGAATAATTGTCAGTAATCCTGTAAAACTAGTGTTAAAATTTGTTTTCTATAAAAAATCTTTATGACCTATGTTATGGTCTCAGTTTTATGGCTTGGCAAGTCGCAGCACATGCAGGATCACTTCATCCACAGTCTGGTTGTTGAGAAGAGTTTTGACAGCATTGTCGTCAATGACCACAGTGAAGAGCAGTTTGGCGTTCTCCCGCAGTCGGTCTGCGTAGGGCATGTCAGGGAACCCAGCAGGCTGATGACCACAACGACGGATCACTGCTTCCAGTAACTTGTCAACCGACGCATCTGGCCAACCTGAACAAAATACTTTATCATGCAGTTCTATATATAAACCAGCAAAAGTCCTTTTAATGATTTAGGGGACAAAATTAAAAAAAAAAAAATTATATCACAAAGCTATTGAGGAGAAAGGAAGGAAACACATATTACATATTAAGGACATATATACAGGGTGTCCCAGAACTCTCCACCAATATTTTAGGGCATTGCTCCTGGGTAAGAATAATACCTAAATATCATATTTAAATTGTCCGGAAGTCCTTAGTTACTCACACAGCCAAAATTTTGTTTTTTTCAGTTATTTATTTTTTTCTAAAGAATAGTTAAACATACAAAATGGAAACTTTGCACAAACATTTATGACAACTAGAAAAAGCTACAAAAAAATTATGAAGATTTTTAAAATTCATAAAACAAGATGGCGGCCATTTAAAATTTTGTTTCTTAAATAACTCAAAAACCATTGATTTTACAAAAATTTTAAATGGCCGCCATTTTGTTTTATGAATTTGAAAAATCTTCATAATTTTTTTGTAACTTTTTCTAGTTGTCATAAATGTTTGTGCAAAGTTTCCATTTCGTAAGTTTAACTATTCTTTAGAAAAAAATTTATAACTGAAAAAACAAAATAGCGGCTGTGTGAGAAACTAAGGACTTCCGGACAATTTAAATATGATATTTAGGTATGTTTCTTACCCAGGAGCAATGCCCTAAAATATTGGTAGAGAGTTCCGGGACACCCTGTATATTAGTTATATACAGGGTGAGTTTTAATTGGTACCCCCCAAATTTTTCTACATTTTTTCAAATATCAATCCCAGACCACTTTCAAACATTGTTGGGTAGTAAGAATTTCGTTTGGACGAGGTGGTCATTTCCGGCCGCCATCTTGGATTCGACATAATGGATGCAAAATATTTTTTTCAAATGTTAAGGAGGGGTTGTGACCTGTTATTTCGAACTAGATTTTACCCTGATTACAATGCCACAAATTGTTTTTTTAAATCTTGATCCATTCCAAAGTTATGAGAGCTTGTATATAACTTTATTTTTAGGCCATTTTAACACTATTATCTCAAAATAGTGCTAGATAAAGATAAGTATACACTACCAATCATTGTCGACCTATTTCCACTTGGTTATGACGGATGTATTTTTTTCGGCCGCCATCTTGGATCCGCCATTTTGAAATGTGATCAATTATTTTAAATTTGAAGAGGGTGTTGTGACCCATCATTTTGAGTTACTTTTTTAAGCTAAACTCAATGCCGCAATCCATTTATTGTTATCAAGTTTTCTTTATGAAATATAGCAATTTTTTTTAAATCTCACTATTTCAAAATCTAAATATTAAAATGAAAAACAGATCGTGGAATTGAGTTCAGCTTAAAAAAGTAATTTGAAATAATGGGTCACAACATCCCCTTCATATTTAAAATAATTAATCACATTTAAAAATGGCGGATCCAAGATGACGACAAGAAAAATTAAATCAGTCATAACCCAGTGAAAATAGGTCGACAATGACTGGTGGTGAATCCAAGATGGCGGTCGGAAATGACTACCTAGTCAAAATGAAGTACATACTACCCAACAATGTTTAGAAGTGGTTTGGGATTGATATTTGAAAAAATGTAGAAAAAAGTTGGGGGGGGGGACAATTAAAACTCACCCTATATATTAAGGATGTGTTTTATTAACCTCCTGGGACTCAGGTGAGTTAGTTGTGTATACTTCCTTTCTCCTCAAATAACTATTCCAAAGCCAAGTTGTTTTTTCCCTTTAAAATACTATTTTAGAAAAGTATGACTTTTGATGATTTTGGGAGGGTTCCAAGCTATTTTGAAGTTGATCTAACATTACGGATACACCTCTTCTCAAATCAAAAAGTGCTACAATGAGTTAGTTGAACTATATCAGCTTTAATATGAGGAAAAGTCCTGTTTTATCCCACATGTATTTTTCTGTGTACTGTACTAAAATGTGAGAACATTTTGACATTCATTGAAAATATCTTCTCGACGGGACTACATGACACCAGTGAAAGGTATGGCCATACAGTACAAAATTCGATCAGATCTTCCTCCAAGACTTCTAGAACGTCATTGAGGTAATATAACTATATTCAGTGTTAAGATTAAACAAAAATCCATCATATTTGTAACCAAAATCAAATTCAACATTCCTTTCATACAGTCTACTTTATTTTTAAAACAGCCTTCTTAGGCAACCGCAACAAATTATACTATACATGACCAAACAAAGTATTCTCTATTCACACAGCGAAGACTACATAAAATCTAACTGAGCTGAGAGGAAAGGTTGGTGTTAGGTGAGGAAGGGGAAGGAATCAAAATTTAAGAGCTTTCCAGCATGCTTGGCTACAGGTTATTCTTTGTGGGTTGATCTTGACTCTTGAAATCTAGCCTGTGTTCATTTATTCTCTCTCTAAGGTCTATGCATTGTGATGCCTATTATATTGTGCTTGACAGAGGTTGAATTGGAGTTTGCAGATGAGGTTTTTCACTATTGCTGCTTATGTGTTCTTTGGTCTTGTACGCTTGTGTTGTGGAATGTGCTGGTGAAGGTTTTAACTGGAAGGTGGATGCCACAGGTTTTTACTTGTTTTCATTGTTAGGGTAAGACCCAGGAGGTTATTTTTGTGAGTGATTCGATGTAAGGATCTGGTAATTTAGGGTGAACCAAGATATTTTTTAGGTTTGGTGCTTGCATTTACACAATAAAAGAGATTTGGTGGTATTGTTACATGTCAATTTTTTGTAGGCAGTTTTTGAGGGCTCGTTTAGTTTGTTCAAACTGGGGTGGTAAGGGTAATCAGGTTGATTTTTTGGTTGAGTGTGAGACTTTTGTTGTTGTGTTTTAGCGAATTTCCCTATAGGGAAGTAGCTATTACCGTAGGTCTCATGGTAAGACTTAGGCCCGGGACCGATTTACTTATTCATTTTGATGTCCCCAGAGGCCAAAAACACCACTCGTTCAAATTTTTATATATGTATATATATATATATATATGTCCGTGAACACGATAACTTGAGTAATTTTTATCCGATTTTGATGAAATTTGGTTTGAAGGTGTAAGGCGGGATAAACTTGAATGAGTTCGCGATCCAGCATGATCGGACCATGGGAACAGGGTTTTATGGGGGGTTTTATGGGGTAAAAATTGGTTTTTCTCACTTTTGACCCTCAAAACACAATATTTCCCAATTTTTCTCTAAACCTTCTTAAAGAGCTTAAAAAAACAAACAATTCAGTATATCAAAGTGTTTTTGTATGGTTATTGGTTACGGAGAAAACTAAAAAAATGGTAAATTTAAAATTCCCATGTTATTCTTATGGAGAATATTGTAAAATGTTGTAGTTTGCTTGTTTATAGGTATCTTTTGATCAAACTTGGCAAATATATTCATTTTATACTAAGCAATAATTATTTTACTTAAAACACACACTTTATTAGTTTCCTTGTAGCAGCAAACCTAGGTACTCGTTAAACCTAATGTTATTTAAATAGATCAATTGAAAATCAATTCAGCCAAATGGAAATTCGCTAAGGCGTCAGGTTTGCTGCGGCAGGGGTATTTGGTTTGGTATAGTTCAAGAGCTGTCTGAGCGGTTTGGGCCACCTTTATTTGAGATATGACTATGATAGAAGAAGGAGAACCTCTCTCCACAAAGGCTTTTTGGAGCTGATTGTTGTACTTTTTAGGCATCGTAAAAAAACTGATTCTTTTTCCTCTGAGGGCCATACCGTAATGAAGTGAGCGTTTAGTACCTATTGTTGGCAGCTACTATTGTGGAGGTATGTTTGTGGTTTGTAGGTTTAGGGTGAAAAGAGAATGGCAACTTTTAAATTTCAACTGTAGTAAAGAAGGTTTACATTTTTCATCCCGATAATTTAAAGGTGAATTTGGTGGTTGAAAATGAATTTAATATTTAACCCATTGGAGACTTATCACGAGACTGTCTCGTGATGGGTTATGGTGGCCCAAAAGCCCCATCACAAGACTATCTCGTGATGACGACTTGACTTTTTTTTTCGTCTACAGTAAATGAATATCACGTAAAATAATTTAAATTAGTGTTTCTAAAGGTAAATAAAGACTTTTACTTTCAGGAAAAAAATATATTACTGTCAAAAATACCCTACAAAGTTTTGTTTTTCCAAAAATAATTTGGGTCACATTTTGATTTTGTTACAGTATAACTTACTATATGAATATATTTATCTCGGTTGTTCTTTCCGAAACCGAAATGTTATCTTTGACACTCTTTGACAAATTCGCATCTGTTTTACAATATTGTAGTGTTGGTAGTCCTGTAAAACAGATGACTAGTAGTAGTTCTATTGTTTTGATGCGTTCGAGGTTGTACTACGTGTGTTACTACGTCATGTTTTGATACGTTACTACTGTTTACGAGTGAGTTACTACTGTTTACGAGTGAGTTACTACTGTTTACGAGTGAGTTACTACTGTTTACTAGTGATTGTATGTGTATTGTTAGTTTTTATTTCATCGTTTTCTAAATGGCGGGACCTTCAAAAAGTACGTTTGACCGAGTATTTTCGAGTGAAATAGACAAACTCCTCCAGGAATGTGATTCGGAATTGGACTCTGAGAACGACAGTGATGATGATTTGTTTGACACTATTGGCCGGGCAGATATTCGGGATGAAATTGAACATGATCCAATGGAAATGGAGGAAGATATTGTAGGCCTAGATGAATTCAGGTATGAGATCGATTTTCCTATACCTAATCTGGACCAAGTGATAGGTTATGATCTAGACCTAACCTTAGACGACCAAAATGTAGAACAAATTCAACAAACTGAAGCCCCACAACCAATGGATGTCAGTGACAGGGATGAATTTGAAGAAGAGCAGGGTCAGGGTGATAGACCAAGGGGTACAGTAGGGACCCAGCCAAGCAGAGGAAGAGGTAGGGGATTAGTACAAGGTCGGGGAACAGGACGAGGTCGGGGATCAGTACGAGGTCGGGGAACACGACGAGGTCGGGGTGGAGAAAGAGGAACAAATGAACCACAGGTTGTGAGACAGAAAAAAAGAAAAAGAAAAAAGAGGGCAGATGCTTGGGTGTGGGCCGATGAAGACAACGCGGTAAAAGACATCCCGTATGCTGATGTGTCCGGACTAAATGCTGTGTCAGCTAGAAAACTCGGGGATAACCCTTCAGCTTTTCAGTGTCTCGAAGAATTCTTAGGAGACGAATTCTTTCTGATGGTCTGTCGTGAGACCAATGATTATGCTGAAAAACAGCTAACTAATATAAATAGGCAAAAACGTCATGATGACGATAAGTGGCAGGATCTCACAGTCCCTGAACTGAAGGCCTATTTTGCCCTCTATATTTTGATGGGCCAAGTTAGGAAGCCTACCATCAAGATGTACTGGACATCAAGAAAAATTCTTGAAACTCCGATCTATGCGGAAGTAATGAGTTACCAGCGATTCAAGCTCATATCAAGATTTTTACATTTTTCTGATGATGAGTTCACGGATCGAAGTGATAAGCTGAAGAAGCTAAGGCCAGTAATAACATACCTTCAGACAAAGTATATGCATACATATACCATGAAACAAGACTTGGCCATTGACGAAAGCCTTGTAAAACTTAGAGCTAGGCTTTCCTACATTCAATACAACCCCAAAAAAAGAGCTCGATTTGGGGTAAAGATATACAAGCTTTGTGAAAGCTCAAGTGGATATTGTGGGGATTTCAAAATATACACTGGAGATGATAAAACTCCAAATGTCCCAGCTAGCGAAGCCGTGGTGATGAATTTGGCGGAACCAGTTCTGGATTTAGGCCACAAACTGTTTGTTGACAATTGGTACAACTCCCCTGGACTTTGTCAACGCCTACTGACACGCAATACCCATTGTATAGGCACAGTTAATCTGGAGAGAGTCAATATGCCTGAGGATTTTGACTCTGTCCAACTGGAAATGGGAGAGGCAGTGAGGCGCAGTAAGGACGGAATACTGGCAGTCAAGTGGAAAGACAGGAAGGACGTCCATGTTCTGTCCACAATACATAGTGGGATTGAAATGTCAGTTGACAAGGAGATTGAGAGGAGGGGAGAAGTGAGACAGATCATGAAACCGAAATGCGTAATCGAGTATAACAAAGGAATGTTGGGGGTCGATGTACAGGACCAGATGTTGGGCAGTCACCCGATAATGAGACGAACTGTCAAATCTTACAAAAAGTTGTTTTTTTATATGATTGACATGACTATTTTTAATTCCTTTTGTATATGGAAAATGATCCATGGTAAGAAGGTACATTACAGAGATTACAGGATCGATTTAGTAGAGCAAATCCTTGAAAATGTTGTTTTACCAAATCGTGCAAGTCCAGGTCGTCCGTCAAAAGACAACCCAATGCGCCTGCAGAGCAAAGCATGGGGCCATTTCCCCATGTTAATCCCCCCCACAGAAAAAAAAACAATTTCCCACAAGGAATTGTAAAGTTTGCTACAAGAAAAAACTCCGATCAGAAGTTAGGTGGTTATGCAAAAAATGCCAAGTGCCACTCCATCTCGAAGGATGTTTCGAGACCTACCACACTACGTCCAATTATTAGAAAGGACCTCGACAAACTTGTAAATAGTGTAAATATTATGTAGGGTAGGCTAAATTTTGCCTAAGTTTATAAAAAGGTTAGGAAAAGTTGTTTGTGAGTGAACATGAAATTTGTATATGAAATCCTGGATTTGTGTGCCTCTACCAACTTCAATCGAGTGCATTGGATAATTCATTTATGGTAAGATTCCATTTTTTTATCATTTTTTATTTTCACTAGTATTATTGTTTATAATTGTTATGCAGTCAAGTAATAAATTTAATCACAACAGAAAAATATTTTGATATGTTTTTATTTTTGGTTAGATAGTGAAAAATGACTTCATGTTCATATTTGTCGGGGTTTACAAAAAAAATTATAAAAAAAAAAGTATAAGAGATACACAAATATATTTTATATTTCCACGTAAGGAAATTAATAGAGTATACATGTATGGCAGTTATAAAACTCTAGCACATAAAAATAAAATATTTTTTGATCCATGCTTTCAAAAAATATTTTTTTTTAAATTTTTTTTTATAAATTTAACTTGGGATAAAAAAATATATTTTTTTTATATGAATTAAAAACTTGTGTTATCTGAAAGGAAATTTATTTCTGAGTAAGATAACACAAATTGCATGTATGTAGGTCAAAAAACAGACTTGTTTTTAATTTTATACTGAAACCTTACAAATTCGCTACTTTTAATAGGGTTCTGATGGTCATGCTATGTCAAAGAATATTCAGTCTCCAATGGGTTAATATTCAATATTTTTTTATTTAGGCTATCTTGTCCATAGGTCAATGGGAAAAAATGTCATCAATGTATCTGTACCAACAGACGTTAGGGTCTGTTTTTTTAAGAAATCGACTTTGGATTTTGGTGTCTCATCCAGGAAGTTTTTGGTGGCACCAAGTCCATTTCCATGAGGGACGTTGGTGTAGAGTGATGTAACATTGATGGTGGCAAGGACAGTGTTGTAGAGGAGGGATTGTTAAAGGACGGCAAGTTTTGAAAGAAAGTCAGTGGTTTCTTTGATGTATGAAGGTGCGTAGGTTTTCAATCAAAGACAGGAGATGTGCGTATATGTAGGCAGAAGCTCTTTTGGTAGGGGAACCAAAGCTTGATTTTATGCATTTTTTCCTAAAGTAAATACAGAAAACAATTTTGTGATTATTTGTGTGTCTGGTTTATACTCTAATGAGCAAGCTAGCTTAACTATTTGTTCAGGTAGTTTGTCTCACCGAAGGCCTTGAGTGTGGTCTCGTCTACCAGCAGAGTGAGCAGCTGCCTCACGTTCTCTGCCAGGCTGTCCTCTGTAAGGACGTGAGGCTCTTCTGTAGGCAGTTCCTGAGCTGCTTGATTAGCTGCTGCAAGCAGCTGCTGTTGTAACTTCTTCTTCTCTGCTTCCTGCATGATCTCCTCCAACATGTCACGATGTTTGGTACGCATATGACGCAGAAGACAGTCCTGACGAATGAACGCTCTACCACACTCGTCACATGATCTTGGCGGTTCCTACAGTTAGCCACAGATTTGTGAAATATATAATATCAAAACCTCAATTGGGTAGTCACAGTAAGGTTAGGGAAATTATGAATTATCATATTTTATTTTTAGTACCTAGAGATCAAGATTTGTTAGGGGTGAAATATTAAATATTACTAAAAGATTGTTTAAAATTAAGATTTTAAAACAATTTTGCAACCAGGTTGCTCATAGTTTATTTTTATGTTCCATAATTATGGTTCTCGACAAAAATATTCTGTTTTCTTCATTTGAGTAATTATTTAACAATGAAAACACCATGTATACGCAGTAGCAAAAGCCAATTTTCTTATGTATCCTCTTTTTAGCTCTTAGTAAATATTGTTTCATGACATATTGAAACTGGTGATCATAAATAATGGTTTGTTTTGATATGAAACTTTATTAGTCAAACAAGACAAGAGCCACATTCCACATTCTTTGGACCTGATGATGTGCTCCATTCAAAGCCAGCTTTAGTCCTAACAAACTACAAATGATCCTTTCAACAGTAACACGGTAATATAAACCACTATAGAGCAAACAGGACATTTTCATTCTTTTGGTTAAAGTTTGGCGCTGAACAAACTTTTTACTTGTGTTATGCCATTGTATTCAAGTTTTCTACTTAGTTAGGCCAATAATTTAAAGAAAACTATTTCACTAAGCACACTTTCCTTAGGAGTAGCATAACCTACAGAAAACTTTCTATGGTTGGTGGCAAATTCAAAATAACTCAATTTATTTTAAAAACTGCTAGTTAAATTAGGCTAGCTTAGGGAAGGAAGCACTTGTAATATTACTTACCTTGGTATGTGTCAAAAGATGGATTTTCAGAGAAGACTTCATGGCAAATGCCTTACCACATATAGGACATTTGTGTTCTGAAACAATAATTTTTATTAGGACAGTTTTTGTTTATTTGCCACAATTTCCAGGGTTTTCAGATGAAAGAAAGACTTTGTGGTGAAAATATAACAGTTGTAACTAATGCTAGTTTTTTTATTCTTTTTTGGGGGTTTTGTTGAAGGAAACATTTTAAAATTCATGAACAAATTCAAATTTTTTACAGAAAGTTCTAAAATTGAAAGTGAGAGTCCATCAAAATGTTAAGAACATAAAAATCAATAGATCAATAGAATATGTAATGAGGCAGTTGTTATCAATCAAACTAAGCCAATAGTTTATGGACAATTCTCAGGTTTTTTCAGTTGATCTTTCATAAACAGCATTAAATTAGCTGATATTATTCAGCTACTATTATGCTATTGATAACCCTGAGAAACAACAAAGGATAAGCAAACCTGTGCACTTGAACGATAGATCGATGGATTGAAAGCGAGAGACAAAAAAGAAGCAACACAAGCATTTCAAGTGTTGAAATGTATGCGTTGCTTCTTTTTTGTCTCTCCCTTTCAATTCATAGGCCTACTGTAAATAGTTTATTCAATGCTTTGTGACTGTGTTTAAAACCGTGAAGTGATATTATGTGTCGAAACATTCAAGTTTTGTATAAAAGGATCTGAATATGGTATAGTAATACCAAAACGCAAAATCCTGTTGGATGATAAAGGACCACTATAGGCAGTCTGCAGGTATTTTAACCTTTTTTTTTATTTGCATAGAGTGGCTTCGAAAAACAACTACAAGATGATGTAAACATTATCGTCGTCTCTTAATATATTGAAACTGGAATAGTCATGTGGACATGATAAAGCTAAAGTCAAACGTTAAAAGTAACCAATATTTTATAATGATGATCCCAGTTCCCACCTTTAACACCAGAATGCAGGAGCTGGTGCCGTGCAAGGTCCTCCTTGCGTAGGAAAGTGCGACTGCAGGTGTCACATCTGAATGGCTCTGCGCCTTCATGAACGTACTTGACATGCAGCTGCAGGCGCTGCTTGCGGTTGAAGGACTTGCCGCATTGATCACAGGTGAAGCCCCCTTCTCCTGCAACACCAGGTATGTCTACCCATCGGTTATATACACAACATCCTGTGTACTATCACTGTGAGCATGTAAACATTCATCTTTGGGTTATGTGAACCAGCCGTAGCCAGTATTTTATTCAAATATAAAATAGTTTTATGAGATACTCTCAGATTGCTGATATCAATATAAGTGACTTAATGAGACAATATGTTGTTAATAAAAATAATGTCGTCTGTTGGTATGACAAGTGATGTTTTTGTCTATGATCAGCCATCATAAAAGTAAAAGCGTAAAAGGGAAAAAATGAAATGTTAATATATATAAACATTATAAACAAACACTATTATTTTGTATCTACTACGGGCATGTAAATTAACAAATTAAAATTAAATAAGTTGTGGTAGGCCTATAACACAAGTTCTTTATCTTTTATCAACACGAAATACCCCCGCCGCAGCAAACCTGCAGACTAAGCTAATTTCAACTTGTCTAATTACATTTTTACTAAAATATTTCCATAAATAAGACATATTATTCCCTATTTAAATAACATTAGATTTAACAAGTGCTCAGGTTTGCTGCTACGGGGAAGGTAAAAAGTGTTTTTGACCATACATCAATAGTTTAGGATGAAATAAATAAATTTGCCAAATTTTATCAATATATACCCATAAACAAGTAAACTACAACAATTTTCATTTTCTCCATAAGAATAACATGGGAATTTTTAATTACACTATTTTTGAATTTTCTCCGTGACCGTTAGGCATACAACAGCGCTTCAATATACTAAATTATTTCTTTTTTTAAGCTCTACAAAACGTTTAAGAAAGAAATCGCAAATTTTTTTTGTTTTTAGGTTCAAAAATGGGAAAAACCCATTTTGACCCCATAAAACCCCCCATAATCCCCCGTTCCCATGGTCCGATTATGCTGGATCGCGAACTCGTTCGAATAAACGTAGGTTTACACGTTTGTACCAAATTTCATCAAAATCGGATCATTTTTGCTCGAGTTATCGCGCTAACGGACACATATATATATCTAATATATAAAATTCTCGTGTCACAGTGTTTGTCTGCAAACTCCTCCGGAACGACTTCACCGATCGTTATGAAATTTGGTGTGTAAATTCTGTAGGTATGCGAATCGGACGTAAACTATTTCCCGTTTCGAAATTCTTAAAAGGGCTCCGCCCCAGTGGCTCTGGAGTTTCCCATGTTAACCTTATGAGAAATGGAATTAATGAATCTTAACAGCTGTTTCAATTAAACAAGTTGGTTCTGTTCTATGATGTTCAATAGCATTAAAGTTACAAGGATTACCAACAGGGTGCAGCACTATTATTTCTTTTACATTTATGACAACAGCTAATTTGCAACCAAAAGGTGAGTGAGCGTAGCGAACGAACTTCAACCTGGAGGCGAATGAGCGTAGCGAACGAGCTAACCTGAAGGCAAGTGAGCGCAGCGAACGAGCTCCAACCTAAAGGTGAGTGAGCGTAGCGAACGAGCTCCAACCCAAAGGTGAGTGAGCGTAGCGAACGAACTTCAACCAGGACGTGATTGAGCGATGCGAACGAGATCATCTTGAAAATTAAACGTAACGGTACTTTCTTTCCATCGGTCTGTCTTAGGGGAAACCTATAACTTAGGCGATACGAAGTTCGCCGGGTCAGCTAGTATATATATATAAATATATATATATAAATATATATGTATATATGAATTTGAATAGATGGTGTTTTTGGCCTCTAGGGACCTCAAAATGAAAAATTAGATCGGTCTCGGGTCCAGGTCTTACCATGAGTACTACGGTAATAGCTTATTCCCTATATGGGAAATTCGCTAAAAGACATTAATTTAGTTTTAAAATATAGGTGAGATGTAGCAATCGGAACAACGAGAAAATTATGGCAATGCATGAAAAAATTTCCAAACATAAAGTTTTAAATTTCTTCTTGATTAGTTTATATGTATTAAATGATTTAAATTCATTTTTCTTATTGCGAGAACTAGCACGATACTGTCAGACGGAGCTGGAATGGCGCTAGAGACAACAGCTGGGTGGTCACATGACCTGCTAGTGACTCTTCAAGCATTTGTAATATTAAACTGTTTAAACCCTCTAGTGGCTAGAGATACCAGCTCATGCAAGTGTTTCTAGCAGCTGGAGAATCAGTCACAAGATGCTGATACTGGTTTTGTGCTGGTTCTAGCTGATAGTTAGTGCAATATAAAAATGGAAAACAATTCAGAAGAAACTCATTTTTCATAAGAAAAAGAAAAATTGAATTTGTCAAAGGGGAAGATGTTTAGATATTTAATATTCTATGCTTTTAAAATAACATATGATTCTTCATGTTTATCTTACATCTGTTTACAAATAAGTTGTTGTTATGTTTTTGAGAATAGAAACTTTTACTGTTACTTAAAAATGTCTCCTTTATTTAAAACTAGTTAATAAAAACTAAACATGGCGCTACTAGCGGTGAAAAAACCAGCTCCGTGTGACAGGGACTTAACTGACATTTTTATGATCTACACAAATTCAGCGCAAATCAGTTTTGTATTGAGTAGCAGTAACATATATTTAATACAATCAATTCACTTGCAAATTCTTAGACTGAAGTAATATTCCATCTTAAATAGTCATCTATCTAATTACTACGGGTGCACAAGTCTTTTGGAAATATCAAACCCAATGATTTGTATCGTCATTAAGTAAGTAAGGAACTATAGTTTCAGGAATCAAACACTTGACTTAATTTTAGATTTTACTTACTCCTTATCTCCTTTTTAATTGGAATAGCTTGAAAGAAAATGCCTATTAGTGTGGTTACACATTTAAGACAATTATACTGAATTTAGTTTCAGACGAAAGGCTTAAGAAGTAAACATGAAAATATTATATATCTTAGTCAATACAAATCTTCCTGTGTTTCCATTTAACAACTTAATTTTAGCCAACATCAATATTGGTCATGAAACACTGCATTTTACAACAAAATTATGATATTACATGATAAGCTAAACCGATTGTCAAGTAAGATTCATCTTCTGCCATTCAGCAACAAAATAATAACCCTTAGTCAAAAAACTTGTTAAACTCTTAGAACTAAATATAGTAACAATTGTAACACTCTGGTACAATGAAAAATTTATATCGTAGATTGATATATCATTAAAACTCGAGTTTTTCATAGTATAGATAGTTTAACACACCTTACGTTGTCAATCCTAATTTTGGTACTGGGTAACTAAATTCAAAAGAAGTTTCATTTTCAAGCACCTTGCTGCATAACTGTTGTTTCGAAAGTACACATGAGACTAAAATTATGACTGACTTAATGTATGTTTTATTATTAATTAAATAAAATAAATCCTGTTATTTTTTTAAACTTGATATTAGATTTATTAAACTTTTCGGTTAGGCTATGCAATATGTTTCTGTGATCTTTGTCTTTTGTCTCTTTGACTCTTTCTCTCTATCTTGTGTTGAATCTTTCAGACAATATCAAATGTTAGTGTTCAGTGGTATTACTGCTTCTACTACCACGCCTTGTATCATTGATATGGGAGTAGTACCTGAGTGGTGGAAGATGTGAGCTCGCAGCTGGGAAGCCTGTATGAAGCCTTTGCCACAATATTGACAAGTGTGGGGCTTCACTCCAGTGTGAGTGCGTAGGTGACGGTTCAGAGTCTCTTTGGCAGCAAACCTCGCATAACACTATGTAAAACCCACATGTTATTGGTTCAAATAAGCTGTAGCTACAGCTAATGTATTTAACTTAAATATTGACAAGTGTGGGGCTTCACTCCAGTGTGAGTGCGTAGGTGACGGTTCAGAGTCTCTTTGGCAGCAAACCTCGCATAACACTATGTAAAACCCACATGTTATTGGTTCAAATAAGCTGTAGCTACAGCTAATGTATTTAACTTAAATATTGACAAGTGTGGGGCTTCACTCCAGTGTGAGTGCGTAGGTGACGGTTCAGAGTCTCTTTGGCAGCAAACCTCACATAACACTATGTACAACCCACATGTTATTGGTTCAAATAAGCTGTAGCTACAGCTAATGTATTTAACTTAAATATTGACAAGTGTGGGGCTTCACTCCAGTGTGAGTGCGTAGGTGACGGTTCAGAGTCTCTTTGGCAGCAAACCTCGCATAACACTATGTACAACCCACATGTTATTGGTTCAAATAAGCTGTAGCTACAGCTAATGTATTTAACTTAAATATTGACAAGTGTGGGGCTTCACTCCAGTGTGAGTGCGTAGGTGACGGTTCAGAGTCTCTTTGGCAGCAAACCTCGCATAACACTATGTACAACCCACATGTTATTGGTTCAAATAAGCTGTAGCTACAGCTAATGTAATTAACTTAAATATTGACAAGTGTGGGGCTTCACTCCAGTGTGAGTGCGTAGGTGACGGTTCAGAGTCTCTTTGGCAGCAAACCTCGCATAACACTAAGTACAACCCACATGTTATTAAACACTCAAACTGCTTTAAACATTTTCTGGAGGCAATCCTTTTAGTTTCTCTTATTACTCAAAAGCAGAAACCTCGGTCACAGTGTACTCAGTATAATGTAGCCTACAGTGTGATTTTGTGTTCTTAGGTAGGGGCAAAGCATGCTTTTGTCCAGGCTTTCATGGCTAATCAACTTAGTCATAAGATTTTATCAGACAACACAGTTTTTAACCCAAAAGATCAATGGATAGAATGATTCTGTTTATTTTTATGGCAATGTTCGGTATTTTCCCTTAATATACTTACATAACTACACTCATAAGGCCTTTCTCCTGTATGTTTTCTTCTGTGCTTCTTCAGAGCTCCTTGAGATGGGAACTGTTTGGGACAGAAATCACACGGCCATGGTTTATCCCCTGAAAAATTAATGACATTTCGTAACTAGTGGTCCACTTCCAAATAATTTTACTGAATAAGAGATTGTAATTATTAAATAATTTATAGCAAGCTAAAGATTCCTGTCTGTTAAGTTTACTATTGACCATGTCTTTTGCATTATTGTAAATGGCAAATGACAATGAATGATAGAAAAGGACACAGTTTGTTTAGCTTGTGCATATTTACAGAAATATGTTTACAAACATTTTATAAACTGAGCAGTGCTCATTTCTTGGTATGGCTGCTGGTGATTATTTCCTGGGGGTAAATTGGGTTGTCAACTACACCTGGTGCTGGTACTACTATGAAAGAGTGCTCACTAAAAGGACCCTGACAGCTGCTGTGCAGTAGCCTCATTTGCTATGTGACGGCCCCAAAAATTCCCAGACCCATTACATATCAGTTGGGGAGGTTTTTGTTACACCCTCAGGAAATCCTGTCTTTACCGTCACGGAAGCTTTGCTTTATTTCAAATATAAAAAGAGGGTATGTAATATTGGACTGTTAACCTCCCAGCTTTTTGCGTCAACCAGTTGCCTCACCATGGAATATTCCGTCAGCGTGGCTCAGCGCTGGGTCAGGCCAACGTTCTCGGAAAGTGTAACGCGCATGGCTGGAATTTGCTGATACGGCTCAGCAAGTCGCTCGATGAAATCAGTTATTGCGCAGCTATAGTTTGCCTAATGCCCTGATGAGTCGTTAGGCAGCAGCACCGCCCAGGGCTTGCACTGACGTCACGCGGCATAGCCGCAACGTGATTGGCTGGTTCCCTCCACGCCCAACTCTGGGCTATGGGCAGAGCGCACTCGGTTAGTTAGTCTAAATTCTAAATTCGGCTCGGTCGGTCATCTAAATTGTCGCCTTTCCCTCACTCTTCTAAAATGTATTTTAACATGAAAATCTGTAACTTAACTTTGTAAATCTAGCGACTCATATCCAAATTGTATTCTTTCTTAATCGTCAGCTAGTATTGGTAACTATTAATAAGTATCGTGTTTGTAAACTAAACGTAGACTAATCACTAATCTTTCTACAGCAAGTCGATAGCTAAATACTTCACTACTGTTTTTGTCATAAGTAAATAAATTATTTATTCGTAGTGCATTCTCGTTGTTTCATTCGGCTACCTGTCACAGTTTGTGTCAGGTGTGGGGTTGGGCTTGGGTTGGGTTGGGTTGGGCTAAAATGGGAGTTGGAAGAGCAAAAACTAGTAGTTAGCAAGGATAGGCAAACCTATACCACTTTTTCACCTGCACGATTTAATAAAGAGTGTAGTTTCGGTCGGCTCACAGTGTGCCCTTTAACTATATGCTGAACTTATGCTGAAAGAGGAAGTAACCTCTTGTACTCGAAAAGTAATATCTGGTCTAAAGTCCCCGGTCCTAGTCAAAACCATTAGTCGCTGGATATATTCCACTTCTGGTGAAACCAAAGTCATCCTTAACTGTTATGGGCATCATGCCGAGTTAAATGTAAGTGAAATCACCCTTAAAGGGGTGGGAGAGGTCCCCCATAGGGACCGATGTGACTTCATTGCCGATGGATATCGCGTGCCTGCCCGATTTTTCGGCAGCACCTATTTCTCGCAAGGTTTTGGAAAAGTAATTTTTCCTGAAATTAAGAGCATGTATGATCACAGAGAGTCTACTCTCATTGACTCTACTCTCTGACTGGGACGGGTGCCGTCGTCCTGTAATCCAGCTACTAGGAGGTCACGGATTGTGGATATTTATAGGCATGCACTGTGGATGGGATACTCCCTGGCGTGGATTAACGTCCGCACTAGTGAGTATTACAACTATCCGCAGTACTATCCTGATAATTAGACCAATTCGTATATACCAAGGAAAAAATGTGGTTCGGATTCCACTATAAACTGTAGGTCCCTTAGTTGCCATTAGCTGTTTGGGCTATTAATTAACAGCTGTGTCTAAGGAATGTCGGCCTTAGTCACTAACAAGACTACAAGATCGCGCCACTCATCCTACACTCATCTCCATTCATACTTGGCTTAAAATACCTACATTGTATGGTCGCCATTTCATAAGAAAGTATTAAAAAAGTATTAAAAAAGTATTGGACAATACTTAAATGAAACGCTGAAAGTTCTTCAGGAACTAGACGATCAGCTTGGCACTCTGAGCGTAAAGGAGTATTCTTTTGAGAATGCCTTCCAGCTCCTCAGATTCCATCATTTGCGACTAAAGAATGTTGAAAAGTTGAAACTGGGTGGCCTCTCCATCTCGATTATTCTAATAGCTGTTTTTCTCGTTTACAGGTGGAGACGCAGAGCAGCCCTGTGGCTGCGAGCCGCTGTTGCGAGAACTACACAAGATCAGGAAGAGGCACCGGCAGTAAGGGAGATGGAACCGGAGCGCTCCAGTGTAGAGGTCAGGCCTTCCGCGGAGGATAGACAGGGCATGCCCAGCCTGCAACTTGTTGCTGAACTAAACCGCCCCCGATTGCAGTCACATTGGGTGGCGTAAGTTGACTAGTGCAGTGCGCGCAATAAGTAAGTGGCAGGACACTTTTAAATGGAGCTCCAGACATTAATAGATTCTCTTTTCCATTATTATATAATTATGTGTGTAACTATTTCATAAGTATTTTATTAATGTACTGTTAAAAAGGACTATCGGTTTTACAAGTAGGCGCCATAGGACAATGCACACTCGTGTATGATGTTTGGTAGTAGCCGATGCCTATAGTGCTACTATAAATTAATTGATTTTCTATTTTTATTCACACCATTAGGCACTGGTGTGTCCTTATTGCCTTATTGGTTAGTTGATTGGGTTGGCTGTGCTTGTTAAAGTTTGATCCAAAATTTTGCTTTATAGCTATTTTTAGGGGAAATTTAAATTCTAAATGAAGAGAATGTACTCCTCAGTGAGTGTGTATGGCCAAGAGTCAAGGCAACACGGGAAAGTAAGCAGCTGCAGTCCTACTAACTTCCTAATTACCCTTATCCTTCCCTACCATCTAAAAATGCTGGACCGTACCCTTGGCCTTGGACTATGATATTTTCTTATCTGATAAAAATTATAATCAAATTTATTTCAATTCAAATAACAAAGGTAACTCTATTTTGGATATTGTCAAGCCAATGTGCCTTGTTTGGAGGTAGGCCGGCACCTTCAACCTCGGTAGCCAGACCCATGACACAATAAATTGTCATTTAACGGATTTTGCTATTTATCTATTATTATCATTCATTAGATGTATTTATTTCATTATTTGTTTAGATAAGTGTTATTTATTTAGATAGGTATAGGCCTATTTGGTTGGCTTTTTGTTTATCCATGGAAAAGTTAGTTGAAGTTAAAAGTAAAAGTTGAGTTTTAGGAGGATAACGTTATAATAGTTTTTTTATTGTTGTTGACACTTAGTAGTGCCATGTTCTGCTCTACAGTGCTTGCTTCGTTTCGGCATTTGGTACATTATATTCAGTATTAACGAAACTAAATTAAGTTGAAAATTGTAAACGCCCCTTATATTCGGCTGAGAAATATTTGCTGCAAACCGTATTCACTTTACATTCAAATTTATCAACCAACTTGTAATACATCCCATGATATTACCTGGGGAGAATTTATAGATTAGGCTGTGACTGCCTAAATTCACTGTTACCTTTATATTTCTAAGGACTACTAACCAGAATGGCAGGAGCGTTTGCTCTAAATCATTACCGAAGATAAGTGGGTCTGTGTATTCTCTCATCCGAGGGAAGCAAGCATTATCCGAGATGAACATAACTATTATTGTTTGTTTGTTATTGATTTATTACTGTATTAATGCAGTAGCAATGATCGTTAAAATTTTTCCTTGATGAAGATAGCTTTGAATCTGTTTTGTTTGATTTTTATTCTTGAAATTTAAAATTAATGTATCGTTACTAAAATGTTATATTACTGTTAGTGTTAGGTCCAGTTATGGAGGGTTTTATTTATTGTAGTTTGTTGTGGTTTATTGTTTTTTTGTTCTTTTGCTTCGACTTGCTGTTTAAATTGAATAACTTTATATATAGTGTAAGGATTGTAGGTTGAATGTTAGTGTTTTTGGAATCCAGAGTTATGGATGTAATTAGTTAAATTTATGGCATTAACAGGGAAAGGCGATGACGCTAAAGAGTTCAATTATATGATTTTCTTTCTATGGGTCTTTCGTTTGGAAAATTTAAATTCATTAAGTTACATTTTACGAGGCGTTTAAATTGGCCTTGGTGTGGCGTTGGGCTTGGCTGGCCGGATTTCTGTGGCTGAGAACCATAGTATGGAGATTGAGAGTCCTCAGGTGCAAGGCTCGCTCACTGCTTCCTGCTGTACCTCTTGCTGGGGTCAGCAAGGTCTGAGGAGGAGGGGGATGTGACGGCCCCAAAAATTCCCAGACCCATTACATATCAGTTGGGGAGGTTTTTGTTACACCCTCAGGAAACCCTGTCTTTACCGTCACGGAAGCTTTGCTTTATTTCAAATATAAAAAGAGGGTATGTAATATTGGACTGTTAACCTCCCAGCTTTTTGCGTCAACCAGTTGCCTCACCATGGAATATTCCGTCAGCGTGGCTCAGCGCTGGGTCAGGCCAACGTTCTCGGAAAGTGTAACGCGCATGGCTGGAATTTGCTGATACGGCTCAGCAAGTCGCTCGATGAAATCAGTTATTGCGCAGCTATAGTTTGCCTAATGCCCTGATGAGTCGTTAGGCAGCAGCACCGCCCAGGGCTTGCACTGACGTCACGCGGCATAGCCGCAACGTGATTGGCTGGTTCCCTCCACGCCCAACTCTGGGCTATGGGCAGAGCGCACTCGGTTAGTTAGTCTAAATTCTAAATTCGGCTCGGTCGGTCATCTAAATTGTCGCCTTTCCCTCACTCTTCTAAAATGTATTTTAACATGAAAATCTGTAACTTAACTTTGTAAATCTAGCGACTCATATCCAAATTGTATTCTTTCTTAATCGTCAGCTAGTATTGGTAACTATTAATAAGTATCGTGTTTGTAAACTAAACGTAGACTAATCACTAATCTTTCTACAGCAAGTCGATAGCTAAATACTTCACTACTGTTTTTGTCATAAGTAAATAAATTATTTATTCGTAGTGCATTCTCATTGTTTCATTCGGCTACCTGTCACAGCTAATACTTTTAAGGTTGAACATTTCTTTTTTCTACATTTTAAATAATACATTAATTTCTGAAGTAATGTTAGAAGGTACTTGAGGTAATTTTCAATAGTTTATATTCACACAATGTTGCGAGCAACCAGAATAACTGGAAAACTGACAAAGCAGTGAACAATTTAGTACAAAAAAAAATTTCAAACGAGTAAAACACTTACATAGTTTTATTGCAGCCTAGCATGCTTAATACACTTTTTTACATTACTACAGTTTTCCATTTGTTTTGTTAATTTTTAATCAAAGTACTAACGGTTCCAAAGTTTTTTTTTTTTAACATTATAATGACTTACCTTCCAGCAGTCCCGGGATGTGGGATCTCCTATGCATTGTGAGTGTCTGTAGACCTACAAACTCCTCATTGCACTCCTCACAAGTGTATCTCTTCTTGCGCTTGGTCTGACCAGCATGAGCCCGCAGGTGCTCTCTTAGATTGTCTTTGCGATTAAACACCCGACCACACACCTGTAATGTACCTAGGTTATATTCAAAACCCTTTCAATAATCCAGCACTTGATAGTTCAATACACTTGTAATCGGACACTGCGATGAACGAGACATCGGCCCATGTCTGTACAATTCTGGACTTTGATTCATGTTGTGACATGTCTTCAGTAGTAATGTCTAGTTCAATCACTTATGCGTCAAGTTCAACTTAAAATGAATAGTTGTTATTTTTTGATAGAATAAAAGCTAAATAAGGTTTGTTTTGCTTAAGGAAAGGCTCTAGGCCAGGTTTTAAATGGTAGAAGGAGGATAGCAGCTAGCTTACCTTGAAAGTGTGGGTAGGCCATAGAACAAGTAGAAAAATATTTTGCACACAATATTTCGTCCCCTAAGGGACTTTGTCAAGTGTAGAGAGAGTTTATAAATTACAAGATGGCTGCTGTCATGGCTGATGGCTGTTGTAAACTATGCAGGGTTGCCACATCTCATTCCAGTATATAACCAACTCCAGAACTCCCCCAAACCTTAACCTAAGATAAACCTGCCCAAGCAGCTAGCTAAATACATAATAGGCCTAGTTTGTATATAAAATATTATATGTGTGTGTGTATATATATAAAGTTGTGTACATAGTTGTAAATGAGATGTGGCAACCCTGCATAGTTGACAACAGCCATCAGCCATGACAGCAGCCATCTTGTAATTTATAAACTCTCTCTACACTTGACAAAGTCCCTTAGGGGACGAAATATTGTGTGCAAAATATTTTTCTACTTGTTCTATGGCCTACCCACACTTTCAAGGTAAGCTAGCTGCTAAATAAGGTTTGTTTACTATGAAAATTGCCTGATTTGTAAAAAAAGCCTAAACTGATTAGTTTGAATGCCCAATAGTTCAGGTGTACATTATAAAGCTTCAAAGGTTTATTTTTATCAGCTTATAGATTACATTTTACATTATTATTTGTAACACAACATTTTCTGTTAATCTGGCACCCGCCCAGTTTCTAAAGAGTTGAATTATCAAGAATCAACTGTAATTGAAAACTTATCCTTGGCATACACAACAGTCAGTGAGCCACTAAAATAATAATTAGATTAAATGAGTGAAATAATATACCAAACGAGATATGTAACTCCAAACTATGTTTAACTGGCTAACACTATTTAGCTTTACTTTGGTTTACATAGCTTACCTGACAAGGGAAGGTGGGCCTCTTAGACCCGTCACAGCCAGTCTGGTAATTATGCCTGATGAGATGGTATTTCCTGCTAAACATAGTGTTGCAAACAGGACAAGAGACTGGCTTCAAACCTATGTGGCAAAACATTTTAAGCTTTAGAAGAGGTTTTTTACTAACATTAATAGCCAAAAATGTTGTATAATATTCTGTATAGTAAAGTTCATTCCACGTTTTCCTGAAATATATAAAGCTTACATACATCACATATTCCAAATGGCTGCCACAGTGATACTAGTTGTCCTCTAAACATCAGGAGCCGCTTTATGCCAGTTGAAGGGACAGAGTTGTCATCACATTATTGCGGGATTGTCAGAGGCCAGTCAAGCTGAACAAGAACCTGTTTACACATTGCTGAGTGCCCCACGTCTGTCTTGTCTCACGAGTACTTAAAAATGTTAAATTATGTGCAGGGAATTGATCAGTGAGTTTTGCAACGTGCTACAAGAAGAGTTAGATAAGAAGAGAGAGTGATCAAGGAGCTTTAAAAGGAACAGTCACAGAGCATCATCGATTTACCATCTCCTGGCAACAAGGGAGACTCTGCTTTCCTTTTTTCTTACTTTTTTTACTATACAAATGTTGATTTCAAATCAATGAGTCATAACCCAAACCTATAGGCCTAAATAACATAAGATTTAAAAAATCATTAGAATGTACTTATACCCCAACACAAGGGTTCACAGATTGCAAATATCATATTTCTAATAATTAATAGTGAACGACTATCTCCCATAAGATCTGTACTGCACAGTGAATGTGGAATCAAGTGGAGTATGCCTACACGTAGAATGCTGGAGGTATTAGGACTTACCAGTATGAGTGTACATGTGACGAGCAAGTGTGCCCTTGTCAGGACATCTAGCATCACATTCTGGACACTTGTAGGAGTCACCCTCGTTATGAATCACTCTTCGATGTCTTTCCAGTGACGATTTAAGTCTGAACAGTTTCTGGCATTCTGTACATTCAAACTCTCCTCCCTAGAACATAGATGATGAAAAGTAGGTTGAATCAATGAATACACAAGATAATTTCCCAAATTTATGGACACTATATATATCCTCATCATAAACTGCATAAAACCCTGGCTTTATAAAATAAAATGTGATTTACTTAATAGGGATATTGCACTGCCAGTTTTTACTAGAATAAGGACCGTTGTGGTAAGTCCCTGAGAAGTAGAGCTTACGAGAAGGAAAAAAAAGTTAATTAAGAGGGCTTTTAAGTTACTGTAGCCTTACTGGTACAAAAGTAACTTATGAGTTATGACCATTGAAATTGTCAATAAATACATGAAATACTATGAAATTTATCACTGAAAATGCATTTGCCAAAACAAAGAACATGAAATTTTAGTTCTTATCATTTGGTAACTAAAATATTGTAACAATGACGAATCACCTGTCTGAATATGATGTTATATGATTATTGTAAAATAAATAAGTATAGGCCTAATTCAGTTTTTAAAATCTTTGAACAACTAAATCCAGAGTTGGACCGATTTTATTATTTATGGTTCGTTGGAAAGCTTAATTTGTGTTGTGATATGATTGATAATAACTATAAAAATACACTAAAAGGAGGGAAAATATGATATACTTGCCTCATAAATAGCAAATAATCAAAGTCAGAAAATAAAATTATGGCTGTTCTAATGACTATATCGAAGAATATACAAATGAACTAATGAAAATTGTTTTCCATGAGAAATACATCAAATAGTTTTATTTGGATGCAACTTTTGGCTGCCTTTATTAGGTATTTTCAAGGAATAGGCCTACATTGCAGTTATTTGTAGGAAATTTTATTCTCTTTCAGAATATCACGTCCACTTTGGTCGATTTCACCAACATTTAAGTTATTGGCAAATAACCCAAGCGACCTCCAAATTTATATTTGTTAGAAAATACTGAATTAGAGATATTTTTGTTGAATTTTGTACAACTAAATCTAGACTTCTACTGGACCGATTTTCTAATCGGTCAATTGAAAGCGCTTCATCCATGTAGATTTGCAAAGAATTATAAAGTTAGATTTTTTTATTTTTATTTATTGGATTAATTGGTTTGCCAGTAGGCCTATGCATCATCTAATAATATGAAACGTGTGTTAATAATTTAACAGCCGATTGTTATATTGTTATTTAATTGTCTTTTCTTTTTTTACACGTTGTTGTTCACAATTGGCATTTGTGGTTAAAGTGTGTTCCTAAAGTTATGTGATTAATCTGTACCAACAATTATGAGTGAGTAAACTGGTGTATGCAAATTTCAAAACCACTAGAGACCAATGTATTTAACCACAACGGGCTCTGTTGCTAATAAAATAATAAAACCCATTTTCAAATACCCTTTCTAGTATTGTGGTTAATATCATAAGAGAACGTGTTAAGATCTTATAATTTGTAACCTGACTGGTTGGATTGAAGAGTTTATGTAAAATCCAAGTGAGGCTATTTATTTGTGAATGATACAGCAATTACTTAATTTACTAACCATGTGAGCTGTTTCAATATCTTCTCCACAACAATGGCACCTTCCCTCTTCAAAAGCGTAAGGGTCTTTCACATCAACTGCCTCTATGGCGACCTGATCTCCTGTAACGTTCAATAACTATGATTAATGATCCTTTGTAAAGCAATATACATTACAATAGGGAATACATTACAATTTGCAATGGAATACATTACAATTTGCAATAGATCATTAAATAAAACCCCTTTTCACACACATCTTACTAAACCAAAACTTGAGTTAACCAACACCAAGTAAAAACATTCAAATCAATTGGAAAGTTGGCTAGGCAATGAGTTGTGTCTGCCAGCGTGGGTTCATTGAAACTTAGTATAAAACAATGTTGATTATTTTGATGAATCGATTTTGTGTAAAGAAATGTACTTTTATAGTGATCTCTTTATATAAAAATAGCCTTTATTCCTATATTGATTGACCAAAAAATAGGTTATTCAAATAGACTTGTTTTTATTTAAATTAATTAGGGTTTTATTATACAGTACAAATTAAACCTTATAACCACAATAGTTTTATTTTATACTTTTATATTTTGAAAGCTTTAACAATTAAATCAATGCAACTGAAAAATGTATTTTTACATCCTTAACGAAAGCAGGGGTTCCAGTATCCCATCAAAATAAAATTCAAGGTTTTCCAGGATCAAAATTAAAAATTTCCAGGACAAAACTTGTAACTCAAGAGAAAGCAAAGACCTGACCTTATGATCGGCCTAAAAACTCTAGTACATTAAAAACCATTCAAAAGAACCAAACATTACTCAGATTCAAGAAGAAATGTATGCCATAAAATATTTTAAACCTACAAAGTTGTGATTCATTACTATAATACCAATCAGTTAAAAATCTTAAACGTAGCAAACTTGCATCGTTACTTTCTGTAAATAGATACAGTACCGGGGAAAAAAAATAAAAAATGAGCACTATCAAGTACCTTCAAGGGTTCCTTCTAGTATCTGATTGAGGTTTAGCTGTTTGTTGTAGATAGGCACATTGGGAGTGTAGCCGTCAGAGTCATCAGCTAGCTGCTTGCCTTTGCGAGGGTTCATCTTGCGACAACTAGACTCGTGACGTTGCAGCCCCTGAGTCAACAGCAATAATTACTTTGTTACCTCACCAGCCTCATATATTTATTCTTTTTTATCAGCTCATGACAAGGTACTCTTGATATTCCTTTTGATTTTCGAGCCCAAACTTTGTTAGAATTAACACTTCTCTTAGAACGTTGACAAAAAATGCCAGACAAGTATAGGTTGTCAATCACTTAGGTATGAAAATTCATAGACTTGTTATTAGTGTAGAGATAAGTTGTGAACAGCTTTTTAGAATAAAAAACAATAATTGACATACAAACGAAAAACCAAGAGTGCCTGGGAAGTATAAATACCTACAGACGGAATTTGTATTTGAGTAATTCAAATTTGTTTTCCTTTTGGGCACAAAAAAGCAATGTTAGTATCAAATTATCGGGTTTGGTTTCAACAAAACCATCCACACAATTATTTTTTTAAGATAAATTTACTCGTATAATTCTTGCTTTACATTTTAAAAACATCATTATTAATTGATTGGTTATTAAAAGGGCTTACAGGTAAACTTTTAGATAGCTTAACTTACAGGCAGAGTGTTAAATTCTCTAGGGCATGTTTCACATTTGAATTTTACAATTTCTTGACGTAACTGTTCAGACTTAGGCGGGCGTCCTCTCCTTCGTTTAACTGGAACTGCAAAAATGAAACATAAAATAGCAATCCTTGTAATTATAAATTAGTAATGACACTTAAGTACTTTATTTAGGCTCTCTATGGGAAGGTTAAAAGAATTTTAGTAAATTAAAACATAATTAACACAACTGAATTTATTGAACTCACAAATCAGACTAAACTAAAAAGTAAACAAAACATAATAATGTAAACAGTCATCTGACAGATGTTATAAATAAATATATGGACTTATTTCTTGATACATAACACTCCTCCCCCCGTTAGGTAGTCCTTCAGATATGCCGGTGGTCGACGGATACGAACAGGTCGAGGACTCATGCTCATTGAAGTGTTTTGGGAGTTTGATCTAGAGACACGTGACCGAACAGGTTGTGGACTCGTGCTCATGCTAGTGGAGTCTTGAATTAAACCAGAAACGTTGAAACCAGCATCTTCTTGATGAGGGTTAATTGAACCTTCTATACCACTAAAGGAATTGCGAGATTGTTGCATCACTGATGGTCGCATTGGTTGTACGTCTGGTGTTCTCATCATAATAGAATTGCGAACCATTGATGGTGGTTGCACTGGAGTGATATGATGTGCTTCTGGTGTTCTCATTTGAATAGGATTCTGGAGTAGTGGGTGGAATGGTGGGTTTACTGGAGATTCAGGATTATCCAAGTGTGAGTTAGTAGATGCTTTTCTTTTGATGTTTCTGAGCGAGGTCTCAATTGGTCAATATGACGTCGTATTTCAATGCCTTCTTTTGTTATCAAATGGTAGCTCAGTGGCCCGGTTATTCTAGTGACTTTAGCAGGAATCCACTTTGGTCCTCGCTGATTATAGTTTCTTGCAAATACGGAGTCATTTTCTTTCAATTTCCTCTGAGGTGACTGTTGGTAATCGTGAAGCGCTTTATCCAAGATTTTCTCTTCTTTGTCACTTGAAGAATAATCTGGGTGAACTCTGTCTAAGATGGTTCTAATACGCCTTCCGAACAGCAGTTCACTCGGTGACATATTAGTAGAACAATTTGGCGTTATATGAGATGATATTAGGAACTGAGCCAATCTTTTTTATCTCCTTGAAGTATTCGTCGCAAAGAATTTTTTGTCGTTTGGACCATCCTTTCTGCCTGACCATTCGATGACGGATGGTATGGTGCAACCACGACGTGGCGGATGCCATTGCTTTCATTAAACGATCGAAATTCTTGTGAAGTGAAAGCCGACCCGTTATCAGATACTATTGTGTCTGGAACACCATGTGTTGCGAAAAGGCTTCTGAGGACCTTTATAGTTGATCTTGAATCTGTAGAAGGCACCAAAACTACTTCTAACCATTTGCTGAAAGAATCGACAACAATCAAAAACAACTTGTTTTGGAAGGGCCCAGCGAAATCTATGTGGAGACGAGACCAGGGTTGTTTCGTTTTCTCCCAGGGAAGAACTGTTGCTCTTGGAGGGTTGTGACGACTTTGTTGACATGCTTGACAAGAACTCACTATGTTTTCTATGTCTTGATCAAGTTTTGGCCACCAGAAATAGCTTCGAGCCAACACCTTTGTTCGAACAATGCCCTCATGTCCCATGTGTAGAAGCTTCAGAGCTTGTTGCCTGAGAGTGGATGGAATGATCACCCTAGTTCCCCAAAGTAAACATTGTTTGTATTGAGAAATTGAATTTTGACGAGAAATGAAAGGCGTAAGGTTGAGATCTGAGTTATGAGTTGGCCAACCACGTTGAGTCCATAATAGTACTTTAGATAGAAGTGGATCCTTTTCTGTTTCTTTTGCTATTATATTAGCGGTGATTGGTTTAACCTCATCGGATTCAATGTATAGCACGTCATTCAAGACTTCATTTAACTCTTGATCAACAACATTGGAGGAACATGGAAGACGACTCAAACCATCAGCATTCGGAATAGAAATTCCCGGTTTGTATACAAGATCAAAGTCATATCCATTTAAAAGGATACTCCAGCGAATCATTCGAGGTGACAGTGTGTTTGGTGTTTGTTTATCCACAGTGAAAAGACCCAGAAGTGGCTTATGATCTGTTCTAATTTCAAAATGCCTCCCATATAAGTAATTGTGGAATTTTTTAACCCCTCCAATGATGGAAAGTGCTTCCCTATCTACTTGAGCATATCTTCGTTCTGACTGACTCATTGTCCTGGAATAAAACGCAATTGGAACTTCCTTTTCCCCTCGAACCTGACTAAGCACACAACCAATACCATAAGGAGATGCATCACAAGTTAGTATAAGATGGCTGGAGGGATTGTAATGAGCCAGTATACTATCGGAAGAAAGGAGCTTCTTTGAAGCATTGAAAGCAAGTTTATGTTTTTCCTCCCACCGCCATTTAACATTTTTGTCCAATAAGCGATGTAAAGGTTCTGCAACATTGGCTTTGTTGGGTAAAAAACAGTGATAGAAATTAAGTAAACCTAAAAATGCCTGCAGTTGTTCCTTGTTAGTCGGCTCAGGAGCATCTTGAATGGATTTGACTTTGTCCGGGTTAGGACGAATTCCGTCAGAGCTCACAACAAATCCCAAGAAGTCAACTGATGTAGATAACAAAGAACACTTTTCGCTTTGGAGTGTAATCCCTGCATCTCTAAAACGAGTGAATACTTGTCTTAATGTGGTAATCAATTCGTGTATTGTTCCTGCTTTAACCAAAATATCATCAAAGTAAGGGATTACATTGTCCAAGCCCGAAAGCAAACCCTCAATAAAATGTTGAAATATAGATGGAGCTGAGCTAATACCGAATTGTAGTCTTTTTGGTTTAAAAGCACCCTTGTGTGTAATTAGTGTCTGAGCTAGTGCCGACTTCTCGTCAACAACCAGTTGTTGATAAGCTTGGGCTAAATCTAACTTAGCAAAATATTTCCCTTGGTTTAAGTTTGCTAAGAGCTGAGAGATTGGTGGAATAGGGTACAGATGATCTTGGATAGCTTTGTTTAACGTTGCCTTATAATCACCGCAAATTCGTATTTTACCATTGCTTTTTACGGAAACAACAATTGGTGTGGCCCAATCCGATACCTGAACAGGTTCTAACACTCCCTGATTAACTAACTTATTCAGCTCTTCTTCTACTGGGGCCTGCAATGCATAAGGTAAAGGGCGCGCTCTTAAGTGAATTGGGTTATAATTCTGGTCAATTTTCAGTTCGATCGGAGGTCCTTTATAGCACCCTAAAGAATTTGAAAATACATCGGAAAATTCACTTTTCAGATGTTGAACATCCAGCTGAGCTTTATTAAGAACTTCAGATTCATGACAGTTGATTGAAAGTACTCCGTTTACTTCAATGTTAAGACTTTTTAGCCAATTACGCCCCAATAAACTATTTCTATTACCTTCAGTTATGACTAACGGAAGGAAACCATTGAACTTACCGTATTTCACATAAACATTAGTCTGACCTAAAACACTTACAGGTTTACCACTGTAATCCTTGAGTTTCCAAGGAGAAGGTTGTAGTTTACAGTTTTTATGAGAAATTGTATTCCATAGTTCTCCTCCTATGATAGAAACACCTGCACCAGTATCAACTTCCATTAGAACTTTGTGATTATTTATGTTGACAGTGGTATACAGTTCCGGTACTTTAGTGCAGTTAACTTCCTGGACGTATTGAGTTGTTTCGTTATTTGATTGAGGTGGAAACGTTTCTTCTTGTTCATAATTGGTTTCCTCTGACAAAACTTCATGAGCCCGCTGTCCCTTTGATCCGTGTTTTTGGCTAAAATATTCTTTGGGGCGTGGTTTCCCTCCTTTACAAACTCGTGCTAGATGCCCAATTTTCTTGCAAATATTACAAGTAGTCTGAAGATGGGGACAATCCCTTCTAAAATGTCTTAGTCCACAACCAAGACAAACATTAGGTGTAACAGAGTGAGCTGGATTGTTGTTAAATGCAACAAATTTCCTGTTTGAATGGTCAATTTTATGTGCATTAGCAAAACTTGAGCTACTGAAAGAAAGTTCCTTACTTTGAGTTTGAAATAATTCATTTGACTTAGCTGCAATAACAACATCCTGAAGTTTAATAGTAGGTTCTTTCAAAATTTTATTCCTTAACTCATCACTTCTAGATCCAATCAAAATTTGCATAATTAATTCCCTATCCAAGTCTTTGAATTCACAGTTCACAGCTAATGTTCTTAGTCGAGAATAGAAAGAGTTAAACGACTCTGATTCTGCTTGATGACACTTCCTAAAATTAAATATTTCAAAAAGGACATTTTTGGTAGGAGCGAAATAGTCAGTTAATAGTTTTATAACATTTTTGTACGTTATTTCATTAGGTTGTGGTAAACTGTCAAAAATGTAAGCCACTTCCTCACCAGCTAGATTAAGTACTAGTGCAGTTTTCCTTACATCACTGGTAATGTCTGCAGCTAAAGCATACCTCTCAAATTGCTTAATCCATGTACCCCAACGCTGTGCGACACTTGCAGGATTTGTATGGGGGTCAAAACGATCAGGCTTATTGAGATCAATTATCCAATTATCCTCGTCGCCAGTTTAGTAAATTAAAAATTAACACAACTGAATTTATTGAACTCACAAATCAGACTAAACTAAAAAGTAAACAAAACATAATAATGTAAACAGTCATCTGACAGATGTTATAAATAAAACATATGGACTTATTTCTTGATACATAACAAGAATCACACCAAAATAATCTATTAAAAAACTTTTAAATTTTGCTCTATCAAAAAAGAGAGCCAGAGAATAGCTCAAACTAACTGAAAGACACAGTAATGCTTAAACATGTTGAATGTGTAAAATCCATAGGTATGTGTTCAGTAAAAGGCCAGCTGACCATATGAGCATAATCTCCACATGTCAACAACAATACAATAATAAAAATTTCAAAATGTAAACATTCCAAGGTAAACATTCTGGTTCAAAAAGTGCAATTTTTCTCTCTTGTAATATCGTTTCTTTGTGTAACATAATTAATTTCTCTCTCCTTTTATTTTGACTTTTC